GAAAGAGGAAGACAGAGAATATATACAGCAGATATACAGAGATAGAATGTACTTTTTCTGTTTAAATACCTGCACAACTGGTGTTCATAGCTCCTCATTAGATCAACTATTAAATGACTGCAGCATTAAGGAAAATTGGAAGTTTTCAGAACAATAAGAAGAAAGGTGCTTGTTCCTACAGGCTCAAACAGGTATTACCTAACACATAAGGACATGGAAGAAAACAAAACTACCTCCAGGAGAGCGGAGGAGGCATGGAAGTAAAGACTAACAGCTTTTCAAAAGGAAACATGAGCCAATTCCCACAGAGGTTCCTTTTTGAAAGAGTCAAGGTCTTACATGTTTTTTATAGTCTTTTCTAAGAATCATAAGCATCATTTAAGTTTAGACTTTGTACACTCTAAATTCAAGTTTTCCAAACCTTTCTTAGCATAATTATCAGTTTTACGTTGTATTCAAGCATAAGCTGTACACCAGTAAAGTGCTGCAAGCAATTCAGAATATAATTTCTAGGTCAGCCAAGATCATAATATTCAAAAGGCAATATCTTATTTGTGTGTTGGTACATGAATTAAAGCATTTCTACCATGACCCACTGAGAACTCTCTGTTCCTATAGGAATCAGAAAGCAGGAAGGATTGCCAGAAACTCTTGAGATTAATTCTCTTGAGAGAGGTGTATCATTCTCAGATGGCTGCAAGTTGTTCTTTTTTTTTTTCCTTCCTTGTTTCCACCTGCCTCTCAAATCCCTTTCACCAGAAAAGAGAAGAGAAGCACAAAATGGCTGAGGTTAGAAGGGACTTCTGGAGTTCATCTTGTGCAATCCCCCTGCCCAAGCAGGGCCACGTAGAGCCAGTTGCCTGGGTCTGCCCTCAGACATCTTCTGATATCTCCAAGCATGGAGACTCCACAGCCTCTCTGGGAAACCTGCATCAGTGCTCAGTCACACTCACAGTAACAATGTATTCGTGATGTTCAGAGGAGCATCCTGTGTTTCAGTGTGTGCCCACTGCCTCTAGCCCTGATGAAAAGCCAGCAGTGAACACCCCAACTCCTATCTCATTCCTATGTGGTGAACTGAACATGTTAAAGTTTCAGGTTTCTTGTTATTATTTACAGATGTGACAGGATCATCAATGAAGTAAAAATAACAAGCGACTCAGAAACACAAGGCTTGATAAAACATTAAAGTGAAAAAACAATCTTTTAGGTTTTGTTCCACTAGAAAACCCTCTATCAGCACTGAAGCTAAATGACTTGATAGTCACTAAGAATGTAAATTCTTAGAGCATTTAATATAACAATATTAATTTAAATGTTTATGTTGTATGAAGGACAGGGATCAAACTCTGCAAACAAACTGTCCTCTGGATGTGCCTATGCTATGTGTAATAGCAGCAAATGCTTCACCGAGCACTATGGAACAATTCTGAAAGAATGCTTTTTCCCCAGACAGTTTACACTTTGGGGGCGTATGTTCACAGTTCCAAATTCTAGGTTTCCTACAATTCAAATGGGTTATTTTATTCTTGCTATGTGAAGTTTCTAACCTACTGTCTTAAAAATCCATTACTTCAATTAAGACAAAAATAACTCTCCTCCCTCGTACAGCTGTGATTTCTCCTATTTGTCTCATATTTAAAATGAGTAAGCCCTCACTTTTTCCCATTCTCTCATTTCCACTTTGGAATTTCACCTCTGTTTCTGCAGTATTTAACAGCAGTAATTAAAAGTGAATCCACCCTCCCACTTTAGACTGAATCTAGACAGTTTCTTTAATCTTTGTAATAGAAAGACCACATGGTTCATACCATTTTTATCCCATCTCCTTGTTACTAAGTATTATTTTTAAACCTCTTCATGGTGTCATGACATTTCCTGAAGTTCTTTAATTAAGCAAACAAAAATTGCAAACCAAAAATATAACTGCCTCCAAACACACCAGTGCCTAAGGAAACAAAAACGTGGTGAAGTCATCATGCTCATCATCATCAGTCTCTTCTGTAACCATCACCATCAGATTTTCCTCTGAGCAGCACTCAAAGAATCTTTTCAATCAGGTGTCACAACCACTGTAACAACAGTACCATAGATCTAATACAAAGAACACCTTTTCATTCTTTATAACAGAAGGTTTATAAATACCAACACATCTTGACTAAAATGGTAATGTATATTTAATTTCCTCTCTAAAATCAGCAAGTAGAAGATATGTAATCTTCAAAAAATATCTACGGAAATTAATAGGTTCACATTATTGTACCCTAGAATAATTGTATTAAATAGGAAGAGCATATCTTTATGATGTGTCCTTTATTCTACAGTTAGTATTTTCCAGATTAAGGAAGTAAAAACAGTAACACTCACAGAAGTTCAAGTTCATTACCTTGGCTAGCTCAATCTTTAGTTCTTCTTTTTCCTCTTCAGAAATCACATTGGTGAAATCAACATCAGTGACCACATCTTCATCTGCTTCATGCAAAGACTGGGTTTCCAACAGGCCTTAAAGTAAAGAATTAAAAGGTCAATACAACCATTATCTATTATTTCAGTTACAATATTGACTTCCCCTAACATCTAAGAATGCTATCATATTCACCCATTAGGAAAAAACCCAAACTAAACCAAAACAACCTTTTCCTGCTAAAGGTCATTTGGATTCTGCTCCTCTTTGCTTCTGAAAAGCTATCGGAAGTATCAGATAGTAATGTCTGCACAGAAGCAATTTAGTATGTGAAAGCACCACTCATTCCCAGAAAGAAATCACCTTGGACCCCGCTAGTCCATGACGAGGCACTTCCTTGCTTCTAACAATACAGAAGAAAAAAGGGGGGATAAAAAAGAGAAAGCTTTTTCTTCAAAATAAGAAAGCTGTTTAATGTGGATCCCTGACGTCAACAGTGGTGATAGTACAATGAGCAATACAGGAAGTATGTTATTGAGCCAACTTTGCTTTACAGGTACCTCTGATTGCAGCAATTTGAGAACTGTACAGATGCACACAGTTTGCAGAAGCAAATGCCATACCTACTCTTTGAATTTTCTTAATGCTAGAGAGAACCATACATTGATCACTCAGCATAAACCTGTGAAGGGTTAAAAATTATACTGAACCTCCAGTTATTCTCTTCTTCTGCATGTCCAAGACCAGGATCAGTACATATCATGACCAAGATAAAACACATACATGAATGTTTGTGAGACCTGGTCCTGCTTGGTATAATATATACAGAAGATATCTTGGCTCCTAATCACTTAGTAAAGAGAAGAATGATTGCTGGGGTTCCAGCTATTAATAGCCTCTCATTCTTCATTGTCTGCAAAGAAAACAATGCAAAACATGAGATAACAGAAAACATTCTCACTGCTCTGGAACTTGTTTTAAAGTTCTCAATCTGTTTTTGCTGTGGAAGAAAATTCTCCAGGCTGCATCTGGGTTGGCACATTTTCCTGTATTTCAGTTCTTCACTGGGGTAATCACCCATCTCAGCTGACTCCTGATACCTGTATACTGCTTAATACAGGAGAGAACAATTTCTTTCCCAGGTACACAGGGGCTTGTATACTCCATTACAAAGAGATCAGAATTTAAGTTTAAGTTCTGGCAGTAGGCAATAGAGATTACAAGAAGTCTGGAGTATTCAACAGCTTGAAATAGAGTACTTCATCTTTTCACGCAGAAAGCAAAATTCCCTCCAGCTTTCTGTCATTTTGTCCACCTAGAGTTCCACCCCACACACCCCCGCCAGTGTACCTGGATTTCCTCCTGTTTAACAGAACAGAACTGGTTTGATTCATAGAATCATTTAGGTTGGAAGGGACCTCCAAGATCATCAAGTCCAACCATTGAGCCATTAGGGCTCTAAAGTCCTCTGCTAAAACAAATCAGAATCTGTCAGGGTTGGAAGGGACCACAAGGATCACCCAGTTCCAACCCCTCTGCCATAAGCAGGGACACCTCACACTAGATCAGGCTCCCCAGAGCCTCATCCAGTCTGGCCTTAAAGACCCCCAGGGATGGGGCCTCAACCACCTCCCTGGGCAACCCATTCCAGGGTCTCACCACTCTCATGGTGAAGAACTTCTTCCTCACATCCAGCCTGAATCTGCCCACTTCCAGCTTTGCCCCATTCCCTCTAGTTCTGTTGTTACTCGATATCCTAAAAAGTCCCTCCCCAGCTTCCTTGTAGGCCCCCCTAAGATACTGGAAGGCCACAATAAGGTCACCTCGGAGCCTTCTCTTCTCCAGACTGAACAGCCCCAACTCTCTCAGTCTGCCCAACTTCACTGCAGAGCACAGCGTGCTGAACTCAGCCTTCCTAATTGCAACCTCCCGAGTGGGAAGACAAAGAGCAGCAACACAGGTGCTGAAACCCTGCTTGGCACCACATGCAAGGACTGAGCACCACCCTCAAGTAGAAAACCTTTTAAAAAACATGAAAGCATTTGATACCTTAGCTATTACTCAGAAAGCAGTGTGCCAGGGAAACCTAGCTTGCCAAAGTCTCAACAAAAGAAATGCACATTTATTCAGTATGAATATTCCCAAATCACCTTTATTAACAACCATCTATCTCTAAGCACAATTGTTGTTTGGTATTTGTTTGAGGATTAATAGCGTTGCTATGGGAATCATGCTTTGTCTCCAGGGTCTTGAAAGCAGTCTCTTTTTCATGGGTGGAGGAACAGCAGTATGGGGCAGCTCTTGGAAACCCAAGAAGAATTTCAGAGGCGACAGGGTTAAGGCTGAAATATCTTAAGGAAAAATCTTGGTGTACATGTGAGATGAGGTGATCCTGGAGCAAACGATACTTGAGCTAAAAATCAAAGGCAGATCTATTCTAAAGCGAGACCATTAATTTGGGATTGACTAGGCAGAGAGGCCAAAATTGCTGGACAACAGTTCAATAAGAGATGGAAGCCAACATGGGCCCAAATCACCCAAGACAACTGAGTAATACCCAGCTAGACCAAATGGTCAAGTTCAGACTTCAAGACTGAACTAAAATTACAATCCATTCCAAAAGAGCACATGCACGTCAGTCTTCTGCATGATCCTCTGCAGCATCACCCAGTGCCAGTCCCAGTTCCCATCTCTTGCTTCTCATCCAAGTCCTCTAAAATCTAGTGTTCAGTTTGGGGCACCACAGTACAAGGAGGACATAGAGGTTCTAGAGAAAGTGCAAAGAAGGGCAACAGAGGTGGTGAAGGGTCTTGAAGATAAGCCTTATGAGAAGCAGCTGAGGGAACTGGAGTTGTTTAGCCTGAAGAAGAGAAGGCAGAGGGGTGTGACCTTATTGCTCTCTACAGTTACCTGAATTAGCCTCTTCTGAGGCCACAACTGACAGGATAAGAGGAAATGGTATTAAGTTACACCAGCAGAGGTTTAGGTTAGACACTAGGATAAACTTCTACACCAAAAGGGTTATCAAGGACTTGATAACAGGTTTCCCAGGCAAGTGGTTGAATCACTATTCCTGGATGCATTTAAAAGCCATCTAGCTCAGGGATATGGCGTGGAAGTGGCCTGGTAGAGATAGATAATGGTCGGACTCAACAATATTAAAGGTCCTCTCTAACCATAGTGATTCTGTGATAGAACACAGGAGCTCAGTGAGACTGCTGATCCATCTGGAATTAGTCATATGCATAATTCTTTAAGAATCAAAGTAGGAACCTACTTAGTGTGTTCGATCTAGCTACACATTTTGTTTAAGCACACAATCTAACAATTCATGAAAACACACAAAGATGAGCCAAATGGTTAGAACTGAGTCCTAGAATCTAAGTATTTTTTTTACACTATATAGAAGAGTGGCACCTAAAAGCCCAAATTTTAAGATACCACCGCATTTTTACACATCACCACATGCATTTGCTTCCAACAACTGGGTATTTCACATAGGAAAAAAGAAATATGCATCTTAGCAGTGCAGACATTCACATGGGTGCACGAATAGACATTCCGTTTATACACAGGGTTCCTGCAGCTGAGTGCTTAACACAGCTCTTCTTAGTTTCACACCTCCTTTGGAGGTAGAAGGAACTTAACTTGTTTTTAATTCATCTGGAATTACATCTATCTACACAGTGTATATCCATATAGTTAACCATGTATGTACACATAGTCATAATATATCTATAGTTACATAACTAACCTGTGACTTCTCACACAAATGAAAATACAGGATGGCATTTTGATCAGATGTCCAAGGTACATTTTTCCAGCAGCACTGGAATAGGACAACTTTTACAGTGCACCTCAATTTCCCTTTGCTGATCTCCAGGCAAACCCCATCTTTTCCTTTAAATTTAGGCTATCTTAAATAATAGTATTCAAATGATCATTAGCTGCTTAGTAAAATAAGCTTGTTGGGAAGTTGTGAACCTCGTCAGGTAACATTTCAAGGTTCTGTTTTCTCAAAAGCTTACTGAATGTATAGTGAAGCTGTAAAATTAAATATTTTTTTCCTCCCAATTTGTAGGATTAGGGAAAATACTTATTACTTACTAACTTTCAGTTAAGGGTCTTTCTGAAAAAAACAAAAAAAATACAGGGAGCACAAAAATTCACAGTGAAATATTTCCCAATAGCTAAATTAATTTTCCACATGAAGCGATGAACATATGCCTGGTCAAAATCATTACTGCCAAATTACCAACTGGTTTCATTTGCAGGGAACTAATATAGTTTTACCTGCATGCTTACAAAATAAAGACACTAAAAGAACCTACTCTGCCAGGATTCCTACCCCTGATTATTAGGTTTAACTGACTTCACTGCACTGAGACTCACAGTAATTCTAGAACTCCAGGATATCCGACACTTTTACTCCTGCCAGATGACAGCCAGGTTCTGCATAGTCAGTGGCATTGCTAAAGCAGCAATAATAAGCAGAGTGGTCACAATTAGGACATAACTATATTTGAAATGGAGCACAACAGATGTCAGTATCCACCAACTCAGTTGCATCAGTGCAAACTTGTTCTGTGCTCATTAGCCCTGTCAAGTTACCCAGCTTATCAGCCCAGGCACCCTCACACCATAACCTACTGCTCTGGAGCCTTGAGCTAGGACCTCTGCTGTTGATCACAGGTGGAGTGGTTGCCCAGAGCTTGTGGGTATCTCTGCGCTGCTACACTGCAAAAACAGCAGAACATTTCTTGCAGCTACTGAGAGTACAGTGTTCAGTTTTGGGTGCCACAGTCTAAAAAAAGACATCGAGGTGCTGGAGCAGGTCCAGAGAAGGGCCATGAAGCTGGGGAAGGGTCTGGGGAACAAGTCTTATGAGGAGCAGCTGAGGGAACTGGGATTGTTTAGTCTGGAGAAAGGAGGCCAAGGGGAGATCTTATTGCTCTCTGCAACTACCTGAAAGGAGGTTGGAGTGAGGTGAGTATTGGTCTCTCCTCCTGAGTAACTAGTGATAGGATGAGAAGAGATAGGCTTACGTTGCACCAGGGGAGGTTTAGATCAGATATTCAGAAGAATTTCTTTCCTGAAAGAGTGGTGAGGCATTGGAACAGGCTGCACAAGGAAGTGGTGGAGTCACCACCCCTGGAGGGGTTCAAAAATGCATAGATGTGGTACTGCAGGATATGGTTTAGTGGCCATGGTATTGTTGGGTTGGTGGTTTGACTTGATGATCTCAGCAGTCTTTTCCAACCTTAATGATTCTATGATACTGTGTTCTCTCCCTAGACACCATCAAATCACACACTTAAAACTAGAATCTCCAGATTGAGGGGAGTACTGTGAGTCCCTGATGATGATGGGGCTGTCCTTTAGGGGCAGGTTTCCAAGGTGCAGCCTAGCACCCTCCAGAGCTCTTTAAGGGATGTCATATAAGCTGACCTAGTAGTATTGCTCTCATATAGTCTCAAAATCTTGGGACTAAAAGAACGTACTCTGCCAGGATTCTTCTCAGGGCAGGCATTTTCCTCTCCTGATAAGACACAGAGAGTTGGTCTGGTAGAGACAGTATTTTTGCCTAAAGATGCATAGGTGTTAGTTAGAAGCCATGAAGGTTTGATCACTCTGAGCAAGGAGTTGTATAAGTAGCTGAG